AATCTTCGTCCCTGTTGACAAGTTTCAGTGACCAAGCCGGAAACATCAACGGAGTGCTCTTTCAAGCATCTCTACCAGCATATTTGGTTTTTCTTTACTTCCTGAACTATGAGAAGAACAATACTCCACCGTTGGTTTGCTTCGGCTTCGCCTTTTTGTTGGCTTTCGTGCTGTTGACGATTCCCTCGGGAATCATTTCCAAAAGCAGTTTCAGCGTAATATTGGCTGATTCCGATTGGTTGCATGGAAGTGCTGAATCGCTCTTGACGTGCACCAACATTCTCATCGTGCTTGGCTTCAGAGGAGCGCTCACTGGAAATGAAGAGTTGGCCAGCGGAAATAGTGGAACGGCACGTTCTGTCGCACTGGGTTGGTTTGTGACGGTTGTTTGCACATTAGCTCTTGGAGTGCCACTGGGCTTTCAGGCTCACACGCCATTCTTGGCAGGTCTTGGTGCTTTGGAGGGCTTCTCGGAGCCTGTGAATGCCTTGTCCATTCCAACTTGGATTGTGCATTGGTCAACGGTCTTTGAGTTTCTGATTGCCATGTCGTTGGCATGGAGCTATGCAGATGCAGTTGGAAATCCAAAGTGGAAAGGCCTTACCTGGGGCATGTTCCCTTCGTCTGTTTCCAGTGTTTTTGCTTTGACGTTCCACATTTTCTACAATCAAATTCCTTGGATTCTGACGGGCCAAGCACTTTGCACATTCGTCGGAAACTGCACCCTGGCCTTGGCCACTTATCGCATTGCGACATCCAATGGCTGGACGCTCTCAGAGTTGGACCCCAGACAAGCATTGAAAAGACTGATCGAGAGCAATGCGGAAAATGCGGAAGAAAAGACAGAAAAGAGAAATGAAAGCAAGATCAATGGTTTTGATATCAGCAAGGTTTCCCAAATTGAGCTCATGAATGGACCACTCTTGATCGCGGAGGTGGTTATTCTAACTCTACTTTTCGCATATGGAACCAAGTACGGTGAGCTCATGTTCGGGTCGATTTTCCAATCACCCGACTCTAATGCTGCAGCAGTTGCAGTCGTGCTTCTACCTGTCCTCCTTGTGGCCTACACTATATACAGCCAAAGCCCGGATCTTCGCAACGGGCAACTGCCTGCACTTGCTCCAGTTGCAAATGACAAATGAGAAAGAAGACGTGGAGAAAGACGACGGATTCGAGGGAGAGCTTGCGACTACACGGCGAGTTTGTGCGAAGGAAAAAGTGAATTGACCGAAATGTTAATGAGAAGCTTGCGGTTTCACTGCATGCTTGTGAAACGTTGCTCAAGTGCGAGTTTGGGCCTTGTAACTGTGCGACTAGGATAAAATAACTGTGACAGGCCACGCAACATGAAGCAAGCCGCCAGCGGCTCAAGCTATAGAGAGAGGTGCTTTGTAGATCCTTGGTGTTACTTTGCGGGGTCGTTCCTGGTTCTACGTTTTGAACTGTTGATGTCCCACTGTCGATTTTGAGGTGGTGAGCCATGCTGCCAGGACGAGCAATCAGCTCACAGGAAGCACAGCTTGCAGCACTTGGAGAAAAAAGTTCTACAAAACTGCTTGAGATTGCGAAATCTGCTGCCCAGCTTGCAAACAGTTTTGCAAGCAGTCCTGCAGGAAGAAGTTAGAGAAGACGATTGCCCACAAGAATGATGCAATGTTCTAGCATCAAGTGAAGGTTTGTCGACAGGCATTGCTCACCATACTAACTCTGGGATCAGGTAATTTTGTTGAACAGCTGTGGGCTTCGCAGTTCTCCCTGGATCATAGTTTCGGGTTTTTCCGAATCACAGCGGACCTTGTTGAGACCGCTGGGGCCGAACACAATATCACGAGCGCACAGAGCGAGAGAGAGAGAGAGAGTGAAAATGCTGTAAATTAGGTTCGAGAACCGGCGGGGGTGGGGAGAAGCTACTAGGAACAGGTGCCACGCTAGTAGTAACAAGTGCCCTACTAGTAGTAACAAGAAGGGGAGAAGCTGGGGGATTTGGATGGGTCCCACAGTGTGAGAGACGCGAGGGAAGCCCTTCGGGAACCTGCGCGTTTGGGGTCAGCAAGAGGTCCTCACAGCGGCGTCGAAGGTGAAAGGGCAGCGTAAAAAAGAAGTGATGCAATCAGACAGTACAGACTACGCAAGTCTGCTGAGTTGGCCCAGAGGAAGAACAAAGGTTGTTACCTGTGCCACCTTTGAATACTTGAAGAACCTCGTCCAGTTCAATTGTGTCATCGCACAAGCTGCCAGGTTTCTCACAGCAGGGTTCAGCAAACAGCGTGTAAACTGTGGCTGTGTCATGAGCTCAAGGGAAAGTTTGCTGAAGGAACGGTTTGTTAGGTTGGAGGCCATTGCTATTATACTGAAATCAAAAGGCGCTGAGATGTAAAGAGTGTTGTTTGGTTGATGACTTTTTTGCGAGACTGTCAGGTTGGAAACTTGCGAGGTTAAGTTTCTGGAGACCTTTGTCCCTCAAGTGGTTCAAACCCTGGCCTTTAGATTTGTACAGAGGTTTTTTGATGTTGATCAAGTCTGACAAATGTTCCAGGTCCAGCGAGCACAGAAGCTCAACCCTCAAGAGACTGCGAACGTACGGTGCCCCAGGTATTGACGACGTTCCTTGATTGTGACGCAATGGCCTCCAACCCACTAGCGATGGCCTCCGCCCCACTAGCCATGGCCTCCAACCTGCTAGCGAACTAGTGCATGCTAAAGTTGTCGCAAGTTTTGGGCTGAAGTCCGAACCTTTCCTTTTACATTCCGTTGCTTCACCCAGCCTTGGCAGCAAATGAATCAGTACTTGGTGCAGGGTATGCGGCATTCCGCTGACAACACATACCGGGACGTATTTCTTCACATGAGTTGATACAGCGTGCGCTCCTTTTGGAAAAAGTTGATGTGAGATTTCTTCCAGTGGCAGAGGTGCAGAGTGCGTTTTCTCCAAGTTCCATCTTTCTTTTTAACTGGGCACATGAGTTTCCTCAGGCCCCAAGTACCAGAAGCCAGTTTTCTTCTTTCCCGCTCTTTCAATGGCATTCCGCGCGGCATATTCCTCATCATTTCTGCAAAGGTCTTCCCATGTCACTTCCATTCCCGACTTCATTGGTTTCATGCATGTTGGGGAATGTCAAACATGTGTTTTGTCACTGGTGTTCACAGTCAACTTGTTGCACTGCAGCAAGCCACAAGCAATTGAGAAAAAGAACCAGCATAAAATGCAAGGCTTGTAAGAAGCTAGTAGAAACAAGTGCATCGCTACTAGCAACAAGTGCCTTGCTAGTAGTAATAAGAAGCTACTGCTAAGTCTAATTCTTGTTTCTACTAGTAAGGCACTTGTTACTAGTAGCGATACACTCGTTTCTACCAGCGAACATTGTTTCTAGGGCGAAGAAGTATTCGTTAATCCGATGACTTTTGCTACCAAGGGGCTGTTGCTTCCTTGCTCTTGGAGTCAGTCATAGGAGCTTAGGGTGGAGGCCATCGCTAGCATGGTGGTGGCCATTGCAATTAGGTTCCCATTGCAGCTTGGAGCTTTGTAGGATAGAGGAACCTGTTCTTGCCTTTGTGCCGTTGTCTTTCTCCTTTTGGCCAACCTAAGAGAGATGGGGCAAGTCGCAGCGAACGAATATGTGTGAATGCCTCAAGTTGCTTTGCACTACTTTGCATATTGCCCTCCCTTAGAATCGCATGTGTCCAAAATAATGCAGTTTCAAAATAAACACCGCAGACAATTGGACCCCTACGATAGGGCCCTGTTAAAGGGGGCCTTACTTCAGGCAGACAAAAGTTTACGCTTGTTAGCCTTCTTACAAAACACTCTGAGGTCAGCAGCGGATCGAATTAACAAGTCTAATTTTCGTGGCAGGTGTGGGACGGTCAATTATCACACCGTTTTAAATTTATAGTAATAAAAGGCTTTCCGGGGTGACAAATGACCGCCCACACCTTCCCTTGTCTCATGGTGTAGGATTCTAGGGGGATAGGGTT